AAAGTAGGCAACTTGAGACCATTTGGCAGCGCCTCTCTTGCCTTTGCCCTTGCCTTTCTTACCAACCTTGCCAACCTTTGGGAGGCATGTGTTTGCCACCTTCACACCTACTGCACGCCTCGACCAGTAGACACTGATTTGAAACATCTCCTGATCCATTTTTGACAGTTTCCACTTCGGATGCGTGCAGTCACTGTTGACACATTGACTCAAGGTCTGTGTGACAAGGTCAGTGATCTTTGGACATGGTGGGGGTACTGTCTTCTTGCTCCTGCTCCTCTTCGGTGCTGTCCTCTGACTCTTCTGATCTTTCTTGCTCTTCTGTGCTTTCACAGTTTGACTCTTGCCCTTGGCTTTGTGTTCAGCAGACCCTGCAGAGTGGCTAAGCACAGAAGACTTCGGAGACCTTTTCCTTTTGGTTGGGGCTTCCTCAGGTGCAAGCTCTCTGTGCGGCTGATCAACCTTAGATCCCAAGCGGCGCAACTTGCAAAGCTTGCTACGGTGCAACTTTTTCTTCTTCTTGGTGCACTTTTTGGCTGGCTGGCGATCGGAATCTGCTTGCTCGGAAGCTGGGGCAGTAGGCTCAGGGCAATCAGGGTGAGCAAAATCAGCAATTTCGGATTCCCCATCCTCCTTCTTTGCTGGTTTGCCAGAAACTGTCGAATCCTGGACCTCCGCCTGCTCACCTTCCACCTCCCGATCATCCATGTCTGCGGCAGTCCGTTTCTTCCCCTTCTTGGACTTGTTCTGCTCCTTCTGTCTAGCTGCGTCAGATTTCTTTGCAGCTTTGTTACGCTGTTTGGCATCCTTTTCAGCTGCTTTGTCTTTTCTTTTCTGCTCTTGTTGTCTTTTCTTCTCCTCCTTAGCCTTCTTTTTCTCAGCCTTCTCGACTTCTTTGTTCGCCTTCTTTGCCTGTCTCTCTGCCTTCTTGTTTTTTTTCAACCTGAACTGCATCCTACGTGTGACTACATCGTCCGACAACTGTTGCTCCAATGCATGGTCGCCACGGCCGGGCTCCGTAGGATCCGCCTGAAGGGGGGTGACAGCCATCGAGATGTTTAAGCCCTAAACAGGGGGTGTGCAGTGTACATAGACTTGGACTAAAGTGGTGCAAAGAATATAGTGATCATTGAATATACAAATTATATAGTCTTAGTTTAGGAAACCTATGAAAGGTTTGCCATGCCAAACCCACACCTTGCTGGCTTCAGTGGCAGCGTTCTCAGCCTTTGGCGACTTTGGTGGATTTTTTTCATGGGCGTCAACATCTGCAAGGGTTTGGAGTACGACATCCGTGTTCATCATGGTAGCGGGGCTGTGTGGGACAAAGGTCTGGTCACAATCACCAGCCAAAGGCAGAGACTCCAGCACCATCATAGGACCTAGAAGGGCAACGAACAACATCAATCAAGCAATCGCTGCAATACTTTCCCCTTCAAAACTGCCGTTGTAAAAACAGGACTGCCCATGGCTTTCCAAAACATCCACAAAACCATCCACACACCTGTTGCGCCAGGTTCTGCTGATGCAGCGTTTGACGACGGAGGACAGCACTTGGGCAAGCTTTGCTCTACCACCGGAGTAGGAGCAGGTGGTGGTGGTGGTGGTAGAGGTGCGGGCTCCCTGGAATCATCAATGCCTGGAGGTTTGGTCATCTCAGCTTCCTTCCTTGACAGCTTGAGGGACACATGACATGAGATATTGGTGCACCCTATGCGCAGTTATGATTCAGGGCTTCTACACAGGTAAGTTGAAAAAATTCTGAACTATTGCCCAGTATCTGTTGAAGTTGGCGCAAAACATCTATCAGAGCTTCAGGATCTAAGCCTTTACCTTCACCGCATTCTTCATCTGAGGAAATGCAGCAAACATCTTCATGGCTCACCTCCTGACAAATCAACTGACTGGATCAAGGTTTGAAATTTCAACCTTCATGACCCAGTCAGTTTGATGTCCATAGGCAAATCTAAGCAGCAATACATCACTGTGACATGTTTGATCACTACACGGGCTCGTGCCCTGAATTTGTATTTTGATGTATTTTGACTACATGGTTGAATGAATACACAGGTGGCTTTGTTGAATGGAAGCAGCTCCTCCTCTGAAGGGTTTGCACCGACTGGCTCAGAGGGCCCTAGGATCGGGTCATCCATGCTTGGCACTGGTACCACTGAACCAGTGTGCACGGGATCTGGCGCCTTCTGCTCTGCAGCATCGTTCGGTGCACTCTGAGCAAGCACAGGCTCTAAAGCTCTCTCCAGATCCCCATCGATGTCCAGGATTTGAGAAAGAATCGGTGGCTCACCCCCTTGATGATCCGCCAGGACTTGCTGAGACTGAGAGTCTTCTTGCTGAGACTCTTCTACAGCCACAGCCACAGGCGCAAGAACTGGGTCAGTCAGTGCAGCTGGTGACGGGACCTTCTCCTTCTTGTTGAGTGGCACCCAGTCCTGTAGAAGTGTTCAACAATAGAATAAAGGGTATCAATCTATAGACCACTGTCACTGGGTGAGGCCCTCAGGTGAAAGTTGTTTCAGCCTTCGTTGATGTAATGGGGCCTCAAAGATTGATCGCTTGTGGCCCTTTAGAACTTTATAACAAGAAGTGCATGTTGCCTCTGTTTTTTGGACACCCCTTTCAATCAATCTGTTTTCTCAAATGCAGGACTCCGCTTGATGTTTGGTGTGGTCCTTGTATATGTCATGTCTTGAACTCATGGACAGCACGCACACAAAAATCATTGGACACATCTATAAAGACCTTCAGGCCTGACCATTGTCCCAAACCCAGGCAGCCTCCATATCGAAGCCCCAATGTTGCAGGAGGAAACGAAGATCATCATCCTGAGTCGCTGATTGCAGGACAGTGTGGCAGAGATGGGGTTTGGATGGGTATCAAATAGTATCAAATCAGCCATTTGCAAACACATTTGTTATGGTTTGTTCTTGTACCTATATATGAAAGTGAAAGCAAAACACTTACCCTCTCAATCTTGCACGGGCACAGGGAGACACACCGCAAAAGTTATTATGTATCCTAGGTGCTTCCGGCGGAGAGGGCTTGTAGCAGTAATTCTTGCCTGCAACTAGGAGGCGCCTGATTGCCCAGCCCATTTGGTAGCAATGCTCCAGGTTGCGAGGAAGTTTGGCAATCTTGTACACTTGGTCTACAGACTGGATAAGGCCATCAATGCAAGGCATCAAAAGCGAGTTCTTGGCCATCAAGGTAGCTAGAGGTAGCAACACGGCCAAGTTCGCCTTCACATTTGCCACATTACCCTCAACGTGTGCATCGATTGCTGTCTTTGTCTCCTGGTCGAAGTGCAGAAGCAATTGATGGTCTTCACGAAGTCTACCACGCACGGATTCTTGGTCATCCCACAATTTGGCCAGTTGGGACAGGTCATATTTCCCAACACGCTCAGGGGATCCACCTCGAGGGGTAGAAGCTGGGGAATTGCAGCCAGAAGAGGATGCCTTTTCGCTTCCCTTTGAAGATTTTGAAGGTCTGGATTTTGCCGCCGACCTTCTTGTCATGATCACACTAATGCCAACACAGTCACTCACAGCCCAAATGGTTGCTGCGCAGGACCAACAAGCTGAGTGGGGCAAAGGCATCACTGCAACAGATGTCACATTCAAACTCTTTCAGGGTATTCCACTCCATGACAATGAACAAAGTTCAACATGTTTCCATGTTTGAAGAGGACCTTGACTAGATTTGCCTATTATATTGAGTGGCTATAGTATAGTGTCTCCAAAAAAACGCTTGCCATATAGCTTTGAAAGAGCTCTGCTGTTTCACTGGCATGGAAGCACCATGCACACAGACTGATCCCAGGTTCCCTGATCCATGCAAAATGCTATAAACGAGTCAGTGGCGCGGTCCACCAGAACTGCTTGGGCAGCATGCAGCTTCTAGTCAAAACCATAGCCGATCAGCATCGCTGGAAACAAGTGTGAGTTCACAGAACAAACATGAATGAGGGAGCAACCAACCTGAACTGGTCCGTTTGTCAACCTGAACTTGCCAAGAATCTTTGTTGGAGTTGGCGTAAATAGTCAGGTTTGATCGGGCCGTGTAGGTCCACTGAATTGAAACAAGAAAACAAGCAAAAACACATGTGATCAACCGACCATAGCAATCAATGATTAATGGACTAATCCATCGTGCAGGGATCAGTCTCAACATGCGTTTCCTGGCCACTTTTGGGCCTTTGTTTGCGACCTGACGTCGCTGAGAATGACAAGATGTGGCAGGGCTGATCCTGTGGCTGGAGAAAGGAAGTGTCAACCGTGGATGGGGAGGTGTCGACCATGGATAGGGGACAATGGGTACCACCACCCAAGGATCCTCAAAAGATCAGAAATCGCTTGTGTTTCCAACTCCAATAATGATAAACATATCACAAATAGCTGCTGTTTGGGGTATGGACTGGTACCTCCATAAAGCACCAAATCAAGCCCGAACGGTTTTTAACGTGATGGATACTAATCAGCATGCTGGTGGCCAAATTGTTCAAAATCCTCTTGGAATGCTAATCAGCCTGCTGGAGGAGCAGCAGGTATACATAACGGGACATACAGTAACACCCCTAGTTGTACCCATTTAAACAATCGTTGGATTCATTCTTACACTGGCGCCCTTTGAAGCAGCTATCTTGGAACGCTTAGTTTCAACTGTCGACAACCGTTCTTGAAGCTCAAATCGCTGAATAAAAATCTGCAAAACAAAAAGGATGCACCTGGGGCTTTTGGGTGGGGAGCAGCGTGGACACTCCACCAACAGAACAAGTATATACAAGAACAGTCTGCAAAAAAGGGGACAGTCTCAGCTCGCCCAGCTAGCTAGATTCTAATTCTACTGCACAAACCTGGCACAATCCACGGAATCCAATCCGGGGCAACAGCGGTGCCTGTCCACATCATCAGCGGTGCCTGTCCACATCATCAGCGGTGTCTGTCCACATGTCACATATACATGCCTGGCATGTGCCCAACCTTCATCGCAGCAGAGCTGTCACAATGCTTCCAGTAGATGGAGGTGCACTCCATCTGCCGCAGCGTATCTGCCAGTGGCAAAAAGAAGGCTGAGATCGACGTTGGCCTTGCAGGCTAACAAGTTGGTTCAAATGGTATCTACACAGTGTCTACACAAACATGTAAAACAACCCCTGGGGGTTGCATGATGTATCAAATAGTTTCTCTGAGGTGTTTTGTACAGTAGGTGGCATGGTCCAACGGTGTTTTTGGTTTTCTCCACCATGCAAATAATTGTGTGCCAATCACGCCAAGAGCTATCGACACAATGGACGTTGTGGAGCCTGGCCACCACCGGTCTGTCCATAGTTTTCACCAAGCCAGGTGGTGCAGGATTTCTTCCGCCAGAAAATCTCCAAGTAGACGAATGCTCTCAAGGTGCGACTCTCTTGTCAAAGCCTATACTCTATGGTATCACAGACGGTGTTTTCGTGAAAAATGCTTCTTCCCAAACAACAAAGGACATGGAAATCTTGGTTTCAATTTAAGGGGAGCCAAACGCTGGGAAACTGCTTGTTCACAGTTCAGCTGAGTGGCCAAATTAGTGCCTTGAAGGCATCCCAGTTGAGCAACGATGCCGTGAACTCCTCCAGGGATTCTCATGTCTTTCAATTGGGTGTTCAACAGGAGACAATGATTGTTAGTTGGAATTACCAAAGCAGCTGTTTGAGCATTTCTTGGGAATTCAGGAGTAGCTGTTGAGCAGGAGTGACATGACAACCACTATATTACTATAGTTTTACTATACCTGTTCTTTTGAGCGAGGCCTGGAAGAGCACTTCCAAGAACACATGTGCAGCAAGGCTTCATTGCTGCAGTTGATCTAGAACTGGCAATTCAACACAAATCCCCAAATAGATTTATAGTTGGAACGGTTTCCAATAGATCTTCTACGTGGGGATCTACTTTTCTAGCTTTTTTTGGGTGTCTATAATTGGGCATATCCCATTACCAGTAACAGTGGGTGATGATGGTTAGCAAAGGCCTTTCTCAAAATAGATCAAAATAGTGATCATCTTTTACAGACCCTGGGCCCTGGGTGTCTATATAACAGCACTAAATGCTCCGTAAAGCTCGAGTGCATCCGGTTGTGAAACTCTAGAGCTTCCTCTGACGCATTGGCACTGCTGCATGAATCCGAAGGCACCGCCGGAGGACACCACCCTCCGAAAGGAGCGTCCGCCGTGACAGTGACACATGGCAACCACAGCAGGTAGCACACGAAGGTCATATGTCAAAGATACGGGAAGAGCCAGGAACCAAGGACATTCTTGGCATGCTATTGGACAAGCTACCAGTAGTGATCGATGCCAAGGCATGCCTGCTTAAACACCTGTTCATGGGCAGGTCGGTCAATGAGTCAAGGTGTTCAACTCCGACTCGTAACATAGAAGTAGATAGAACTTGCCACTGGGAAGACGATGTTCCTCTATGAACAGGTGGTGTTCCACTTTCCGTGTTAGTTGAGCCCGAGGGTACCGACATCTTCACCAAAAAAATATGATGAGGTCTGGGAGTTGCAGCGCTTTGTTGTTTAGGGAGGGTTCGCTAGGTAACCACTGTCTTCTTATAATGATGTTCTGAGCCACCACCTGCGGCACACACATCATGTGTCTTCCAAGCATTTCCAAGCATGGTAGGTGGGCCCTGCCGTTGAAGCCAATGACCTCTCACATCCAACATTTGCTGTCATCCTAACCCAGGGGCATCGCTACGAACGGAGCAAAGATGCTACTAGGTTTTGCTTAGTCGAGCACTGCAGCCCGAGTCGAGTCCCAAACGGCTACTGGAAGCCTCGTTTTTGGAGCCATCATCTCGATCTTTATTCCCTTGTGTAATTATAGCTTCTTGTTACTAGTAGCGATGGCCTCCAACCTAGCGCGATGGCCTCCACCGAGCATAGCATTCGATTTCCCCCGGCTTCCGGGTGAACCGTTTCTCCACCTGGCGCCGTTCTCCAAGAGTTCCTCGGCGATGAAGGTCGACGCGCCGGGGCGGAGTTGGGTGATGACCTCGGAAGTCGCCGATCGCTTTCGGTCCGAGGTCGAAGACAGGTCGCCAGCTAGTTCGAGGCATTCATTTCGGACAGGTCGCTGGATGTTGGATAAGGATGGATAAGGCATTGATTGGTCCTCTAGACTCTAATCGTTTGATCTTTTCTGGTTTCGCTCTCACTTGGTGGGGAGTTCCTGCGCCGAACTGAGCAAACGGGAAGGGCTCCGGATATTCGGCACGAGCGGCTCCGAACAACACGAGCGGCTCGGTGTCAAGAGTGAAGAAAAAGAGCCTTAACTACACTTATACACAACCTGAAGGCGGCTGCATCTGCCTGGCTTACCCTCAGGGTCGATCTACTCATTGACTTTTGGCCAGATCGCCAATACAAGCAGCCTGCCCTACAAGCCAGGAGGGAAGGCATTTCTGGCGTGCACCGTGCACCCACGTGATCATCCTCCAACGTCTATTACGTAGCACTACCGTACCATTACCGTACCGGTTTGGTTCACCGGGCAGATTTCTGACCATCACCTCACACCTCACCGGAGTCCGGTGCTCGGTCGGTCTGGCCTTTTGCAGGACGTAGTTCGCGTGGGGCGAGGCCGCCGCTTCCTTCACGTGTCCCGCGAGCTCATGCGCCAAGCGCTCGGCGAAGGGGGAGGGCGTCACCCTCGGTGGAGTGGCGTGACCGGCAGTGGAGTGGAGCGCAGGTGCAGTTCATGCATGTGGTGGTCTAAATGGTATAGCGGACCTACAGGCAAAGGGGGTAAAGCACACTATAGTATAGTACTTTCAAGTATGGTTTGCATCCTGGTGGGGCAAAGTGCTTGTTGATATTCCTGTAGCACTTCTCTTATGGCTCTCCAATCAGTTCAGCACCATCACTTCACCAAATGAGCCGCTCCACTTTGCGACCCTTGTGATGCCTATATATTCTTGCTTTGTCAGCTTGCAGCTTTTCCATCGAGTCATCTGGAGCTGCGAGCTAGCACCAGCTTGACCATTCTCAACATGGGAAAGTGTAACTAGCAATGTCCCCACTTGAAGAACTCGAGCGCGCTAGCTAGCTCTCAAGCCGCCTTCAAACCACCAGCTACATATTAACATGTTGATCCTTCCTTCGTCTTGGTGTTTTGAAGTCGACCAATAGCAACGGATATATAGCTTTCCCCACTCAGGAACCCCTCGATCACGTTGTCATCCCTTCTCGGTGAAGGGCGTCCATTTCTCGCTGGCCGAATCCGGAGAAACGACGATGTCCAGCTCTCCTCGGTTGCCCCAAAAACCCACCGTTTCCCACGTCGAGACCATCGGTGCTCCAAGAAGCTCTAAGGCACGCTGTACCAGGCGACAACCCACTGGATGACGGGACAAAGGCCAAACCATACCTCAGGTCGGAGTTGGTCGTCCGAGAAGGTATGTCTACCCGAGTCTGCCTTGCACGCCAGGGCCTCGTCATGGTTTCAAGAAGATCCACCGTGAAACCTCACCATGACTGGACAAAACATCGCTCAGCTCAGCTGGAACCAGTGGCCTGAGCTGCCCAAGGCGTTCCCCGAAAAATGCTGAATTTATAATGCATGACTTCAAAGCGGCTTCAGATAGGAACTGGAGAACTGAGACTGAAAAAGTCCGCTTGAATCAAGCTGAGATCTCAACCTGCGGAATGAAGAAAACTGCTCCAGACTCCTTACGCTCGGTCTCCGCCAAGCGGCCCACGGCTTCGGTGGGAAAACCAACGTCACCAGCGACACTCTCGAGTTGCAAACGCAAGAGTTCGCAGCGTCCGGTCAAATCCACTTCCTCCTCGGGGTGGAACCGCCAGCTCCGAGATGGGGAAGAACTCGTTTGGTGTGCGAGCCGATCGGACCCTATCGAGACCCTATCTGAGCACCAGGCCGTTTTGCAATACTTTGCATCTTGTTGGACCACTTTGTTTCAACAACTTGTTACAATGGGAGCAAAAATCCACCGGAAAGGGGTTCTTTCCATCAGGAATCTAGTAGACACTAGCCAGCATCCCGCAAAAGCAGGCAAATATTGTCTAACTCAATGCAGGATGACAATGAATCACAGTCCCTCACCACCTAGTGGCCTAGTGAGTAAGCCGAACTTGCAGCTGCTGCATTCACTTAGTAGTAACTATTGAAAATTAAGTGTCCACTTCTAAGCTTGAAACAACAAAATCCACAAGTGCACCAAAGCAGTGGCAACCTTCCACTTGAAGCTTCCCCTGTGAGAAGAAACATGCACAGACTTTCCAAATCCATTGACCCCACACTCACCCCCCCCAAGACCCTTTGGTTTAAGCATGATTCTGAGATTCTGATAAGTTGTAGAACGTCCGTATGAGAAATTCAATGTCAGAACATTATGGGGAAGGCCCTCCTTATCACTCATACAAAAGTCCCTTGCATTCTTTACGCAGGTGTTGGGGAGACTGCTTGTGCAAGTAGCTCTAACACACGCCGTACGGACAGACAATCAATAATTATATTAATGCATATATATATATATAATAGCTCGTCCATGAATCCAAGAAACGCACAAGGAAACATCCACCCCCGCGCAAGAAAACAACACAACTCAACCCACCAAGCAAGGCAAAAAAACACAGCACCGACCGTTAGATTTAATATACAGTATATAGTCTATCTATCTATCTATCCATCTATCTATACCAGGACCCTCCAACAGGTCACCACCTGCGACTTTTCAGTCATTTCGGAGACCTGCAGAGTCAGGTGCTGGTAATGTATGATTCATACCAATCCATTAAAGCTCCAACGCTCGTCAACGCTCGTCGTTCATCCCGGTCTCCTCGAAGTCCGGCGGAGTCACCGTCTCCAAGCCCCGGCGGCGACGGCGCTCGCGGCGGGCGCGGGCGGCCGAGGGCTTCTCCTGGGCACCGCGCGATGCAGGCTTCACCCAGCGATGGGCTTCAATTGCAAGCTAATAGCGTTGTGAGGGCCATAGGGATCGGATGGAAGGCAGCAGGGCCACTGGTGACCTGTTCCGTGACCTGAAGGGGGTGTTTTTTTGAAGGAGGGAACCGCCACCCTGATAACCCCGATAGACACGTGCCATCGGTCACTGCCACCACCCGAAGGAGCATGTAATAAACGTATATATGCGTGTAATACACCATGGGAGCACCATCGAAACAAGAAAGCAGATTGACGTCATACTTAGATCATGAATGATGGGAAAGTTCAAGTTCAGAAATGTTGGTATATCCAAACTTGGCTAACCTTTGACATCGTCGGTCAGATGGTATGTCGGCCGGTGGATGAACCCTGCAAACATTGACCACGAAGGGTTCCTAAAGCTGCTTGACACCATGATTTCCACTGCGAAGCATATGTAACAACCACCCTGAAACCTATGAGATCCGGGAGGCAAAGCCGTCCGAAACAGATTGAGACGGAAAGCGCTCACGTGGGTCCAGGAAAGAAGCCTCATATTGCCTCCCTCATAGGTCATGCTTCACCAAGTCTTGGAATTGTCTTGTAACACATTAGCTAAGAACTACAGTATACCCCAAAACACTCCGTGGGCCTACCTACATTGGGGTGGTTTGAGGGGTCAACCTAATTATAGACATATATGACAGACATGGAGTGTCTGGGATATAAGACATGCAGGGTGATGATGTATTGCTTTTTTGTATATTTAATTCGTGCTTCCTAATAGGTACTCGGTATATAGTAATAGGGTAGGGATTTCAACACGTACACTGTCCCACAAAAGCAAGCGATCAAATTCCCCGCGGGTGGGGATCTTCAGCAAAGAACTCCTCAAAAGGAGAGGATTGACTTCTTTGATGACATCGACATCTTTCTTCCACGCCTTCAAGAGACTTTCAATGGAGTCCTTACATGTTCCGAGAGTTCTTGGAAGTGTCTTGAAGGCATACCACATATAAAAATAACCCTACAAAATACAAAACTAAACACATCTCTTAGACTAGAACTTAGAGATAATCCCCTTTTCCAACACTTTTTTCGGACCTATCACCCTATCACATCACCACTTGAGCGAGGAGGGGGTGAACGAAAGGTAGCAGGCAATCACAAGTAACCCTGGTAGAAGTCCATGACGGCGTGAACCGGCGCAGGCCCCCCCCCCAATGAACAGAATCATCTCTTACAGGACCAAACTCAATGCACAATCCCAACTCCTGATTGTACCCTAGGGCTCCAACCACCTCCTGAGAAGATGGTTGGGGTGGGTGCCAGGGGGGTCTAACCATCTTG